TCCATTCATTGACATCAAGAGCATCGATCCACGCAATCGGGATACGATGACAAGCATCAACCAAATCTGCGATCCTGACCACCCGATCCCGTTATTCGCCTCTTACGACAGGTATAGTCGCCTTTTATGACAAGCATCGATTGCTGAAGGTCTGTTCTCTTCCAAGATCTTCACGGGTCTTATACCCCGTCCTTTAAGTCACCTCGTACTACAAGCACATGTTGGGAACCAATTCTAACCTGGAATCTCCACGGAGCGCTGTGTTTGAAGTTGTCACATGTTGATACCGATGTGTTAGTAAATGGTCACTCGCTTACTAGAAGATCATGCTTTCTTCAAAGGAGGGGGCACGGGTGGCCCAGTCGTCTAAGGCGCCCCGATTCGCTGTGCAGAGTTGCGTCCCTTGGGCACGCCAGAAACCTATGATTGTGGGTTCGAATCCCGGTTCGCCCCGATTATGTTTCTAGGTTTGTCAGCACCATACCCGTGCTCGTGGGTTTCACCGAAGTGGTAAACGTCTTAGACCTGCATCACTTCGGGCTTTCCTCCCACATTAAGCTGACACGCCGTGATATAACTGGAATAATGTTAAAAGCGGCGTTAAACCCAACTCACTCACTCACTCTTCAAAGGACCCATGAAGAAAACATACCCTAGTATAGGTGAATTTTCTTTGGTTGTTGTTAAACGCCACACTTAGCAATATTCAAGCAACATGATAGCGGTTTCCTGTATAGGTGAGACCCGTTAAGATCCGGGGTAGAATAGGTCTTCAGCAACCCATGCTTGCCGTAAAAGGTGACTATGCTTGTCGTAAAAGGCGACTAACGGGATCGGGTGGTCAGGCTCGCTGACTTGGTTGATGTATGTCATCGATCCCAATTGCGTGGATCGATGCTCATGATTTCAATCACTGGATTGTCTGGTCCAGACTCGATTATTTACAGACCGCCGTCATATAGCTGGAATATTGCTGAGTGCCGCGTTCAACAACAAACCAACCAACCAACCTGTATAGATGAGGTGAAAACGTCGCGATTATTACTTATGTAGCGACTTTCATGCACATACTATACTGAATCTGAGCCGACCAGTTCTTATTTTATTGCCTTAATGCCAAGCGCCAGGCAGGGTAATCACATGAACCATCTTTTAACGTCTTTTGGACCGCCTCCGTGGTCTTGTGGTAGAGCGTCCGCCCGGAGAGCGGAAGGTCCAGGGTTCGATCCCGGGCCGCGTCATACAAAAAGACGTTAAAAGATTGTACTTGTTGTTACCCTGTCTGGCGCTCGGCATTAAGGGGCTAAAACAAGGACTGGTCGGCTCGGAGTCAGAATACTGTGTCTGAGTGGGGTATTCATGTTAAACTGCGGGATGGTATCTCAGTGAGCTAGCACTATAAATCGGCATCAGTCCGGACTAGTACAAGCAGCCACACACACACATACACGTGCATGCACGTCGCTATATAAGTGCAATAATCTTGGACGCGACGTTAAACCCAATTTCACCTCACCTCACCTTTAACGTCTTTTGGTATGACACGGGAACTGAACCCTCGATCTTCCGCTCTATCCACTACGCCACTAGGAGTTGAGCGAATGAATTGGTTGCAACACTGCTTTGAACAGTATGTCACTGCGTGTCAGCGTAATGTGGAAGGACAGTCACAAGCCTTAACGTTCAGGTCTAGGAACTGGTTTGCGGTAACGAACCATAGATCATAATCAGGTCGAATCTGGGATTCTGGGATCGAGTCTCTTACGGTTTCAATCCAAGCAACAACAACAATGATACTAGTAAGATACAACTCAAAAGAAGTTAAGGTCCAGCCGATTCTTTCACATCACTATAGTTAATCGGCCATGGCATGCAAGATTAACTACAGTAATAAGAAAGAATCGGGTGGTCCTAAACGTCTTTTGAGTAGTATATATTATTATTCTATACATTACTCAGCTGTGTCAGAAAGGGGCTATAATATGCAGTTACATAATTTTAATGTTAACAATCTCAGAAAGAAAAATGTACAAGATAAAGAAAGTAGTTTATGCCGTTATTGTAATGAAGGCTATGTTGAGGATGAGTTTCATGTACTTCTCATTTGTAAACATTATCAGTTTCTTAGAAAAAGATACCTCCCTATGATTTCAACTATGTACAAAGATGAACAACTGATGAGAAATTTGTTGAACTCCTGCAATGCAAATACAATATCATCTCTGTCAATATTCCTGAAGAAGATTTTTGAAATTAGACGTAAATATTTTATGTAAACTTATTATTACCTACACGTGACTGTACAATGTTAATACAAAAAACAAACACTACTGTACTATAGGTCATATGGCCTAAAATATTGAATAAACTTCTGTTCTGTTCTGTTCATAATATGCAGTGTCTGTTTAATGCCCCATAAAAAGCTGTCAAATACCACTGAGAAATTAACCCGTGATTATGTACACACGGTCAAAACGCTGGTTTCGGTACGTGCAGCGACACCATATCATGGGTGTAAATATATCGTGCGTGATGTGTTCCAAACAGTAGATACCTTCCCCCTACAGCTCCCCAGTCTGTTGTTCTGTATTGATCTTGTTCAATTGGGTATCAAGCAGGTTCCTCCCCCTTTTCTGAAAAATAGTTAGCGATCCGACGGAATTTGGTATCCAGTGCATGCAGAGTAGCCGTGATGGCGGCCCGCCATTGCACGTGTGGGCACACTGATTTCAGCTGTTTTGTTTTCGTGATTTAACCCCACCACCCACCCAGCCACCCCCCTCCCCCCCCCTACTAAATATCCTATTATTCGTTTTAGTTTCTGAATTTTTATTCAAGTATTCAACGTTTGAAATAAATCAAAAGTTCATAAAGCCAGAATGAGGCAAAGCTAGTAATATGTTAATTCAAACTTGGATAAAGAGATAAAGCCATCCATCATACTGCCCACAGATTATTCCAGGAACAATATTTGTGTGCAAAACATTTGGAACTATCATGCTAATTACCGTTACTAGTCTGTTCACTTGAAAATACATTGTGGTATATTTGTAAAACCATCTTGTGCAAATTACCCGTAGTCATGAATAATGCAACTCGGCCTCTATGCGGGATAAACAGAAGTAATAATTTAACTTGACCTTGTTGTTGACTTGAATATGTTCATAAATAATGTAGACTTGATATTGATTATTTTAGGAAAGAGGAAAGAGGACTATCAGGTGTGAATTCCCCAAAACTCGTTGTTATGTTAATCTACGTAGGGTTATGCTAACTGTAAATTAAGGCAATGTTTCCTTTTAAATAATTCACTTTCCCATACTGAATCTAACGGTATATTGAAATTCTGCGCAAGTGTATGACACATCGTCAGTATTATTGTTAGGGGTAGTATTATGATAACATTCAAGGAAGAAGAAAGAGTGAATAATTATATCTCAAACTAGAAAACGACATGATTTAATTTGATTTGACTATTAGCTACATGTAACTGCTCCTCGCTCTTTTATGTTGTGGCCCGGCGATTAAAAGACCATGTATTAAAATAAACGTTTAACGTTTCCGTTTAATTTCCTTTAAGAGGTCATCAGATTTTTTTTCAACGCTTTGATATATTCCACCAAATAATTGCAAATCCGGTTAGAAACTATTTATATATCCAAACTGCATCACGCTACACCGCTTTTCTGCAAAGACACAAAATGACAAGTAAAAAATAAAATACTTTTCTATTTCCAGGTTGACATTTGTCCGATGGAGTAAATTATATATTTTTAACGTTATGACAAGACAACACAACTGGGAAAGCGAAAATCAAATCATGAAGATAAAAAATAATCTAGACGATGAGTAAACGATTGAAACTGTTTTTTTTCAGATGTTAAAGATATTATTGCTGAAACCGAAACGACCAATTAAGGGTTGGCTCAGTGCGAGGGTAAATCGAAACGTTCATAGCCTCATAGATCTTGCTTTGAGTAATGTGGTTTCAACATGTGTTTGAAGGATACCATTGCTTAAAAGATATAACACCAGGTTACAGACTGATAACTGCATCTATTTTGGAGAATTTGACAGGGGAAAGAGAAACTGCAAAAATGGAGAAAACTAAAAAATGAGCTGTGTGTGCATGTCACCAAAGGAAAAACACGATGACATGAAAATCATGCTTGGGGATGACTTCCCTCCATATTCAACTGTTACGATATGGGATGCTGAATTTAAGCAAGGTCGTCCCAAAGATGCTACGTCTGAATGACGAGTCTGTCCACTGCTGACCATGGATGACCAACGTGTTACAATTCTATTGAGATCAGTTTGGGCACAGTCCATCTGATTTGTTTGTTTGTTTGTTGTTTAACGCCTCAATCGGCAATATTCCAGCTATATGAAGGCGGTCTGTAAATAAACAAGACTAGTACAAGCAGCCACACACAGACACACACACACACACACACACACACACACACACACACACACACACACAATGTGCATGCAATAATCTAGGACGCGGCGTTAAACCCCATTCCACCCCTGCCGTTGTGTTAGTGGAATAATGTTTGATGTAGCATGAAACAATACTCATTCACTTAAAAGAGACACGGGGAATGGCCTTCCAACAATTACATTCCAATAATGTGGTTACCGTATCCAGTTTATTTCATTTTGTTTGTTGTTTAACGCCGCACTCACCAATATTCCAGCCATATGATGGCGGTCTGTAAATAATCGGGTCTGGACCAGACTATCCAGTGATTGACATCATGAGCATCGATACACGCAATTGGAATCGATGAAATGTATCAACCAAGTCAGCGAGCCTGACCACCCGATCCCGTTAGTCGCCTTTTACGACAACCATAGTCGCCTTTTACGGTAAGTATGAGTTGCTGAAGACCTATTCTACCCGGGAATCTTCACGGGTCGAAAGCGATAAGCACTGACTCGTGAGTCCATGTATGAATTTGTGATTACAATCACTGCTTTGAACATCATTTCAGCTACATATTACAGAGTGGCAGTTTGACGTGGCGCAGGCTGTAGGCATTCTCAATTCTTAGCCATCGGGCACGGTATTCGCACTCACGGTCAGCAGATCCTGGCGAAAGAAAGGGGACTACTCTGCACGCCGTATTCCAGTGCTTTAGACGAAAGGGCAGCTGGTGGTCTCCGAATCTTGTATGGCATTAAATAGAACCGAAACTTGGGTATAAACTCGACCAAGGTCGAAGAGGGGATCTAATTGAAGAGACTGGCCTGCCTGAAAGTAGACATATCCCACGATTGTCAATTTAATGGGAGGAAATAGCGATTTATACGCTATGGTAAGTAGTTTTACAGTTGGGTGTAACAAGTCCTCCCAAATATTTCTCACAGAAATTGGATGTAGGTTTTATGTACCAGTTATACAGTTTTTTATATGATTTTTTAACGAAACATAAATAGACTGAACAAAATGAATACCGTTTTCTCCACAAAACCCCTTAGAATTTGTTAATAATGATGTTTTAAATAATAGCATTAAAAAAACTGGATGCTCAAGGGTGTGGTACGAGTAATCGTTATCAGGACTGTCTGTTGGGGGGGGGGGGGGGGGGGGGGGGGCACTTGAGGAATTTCCCAACACTGGATTCAGCACCCTCATGGTTCTCGTCATTCAGATCAGTCATTACTAAAATACATAGTCTATTCATGGCTCGAACCATGGACCGTATAATCTGAAGTAATGTATATATTTGAACCCACTTTGATAACTTGTTATGACCATTTAATAACTGGAGAAAGATAAAGATGAAAATGTTTGTAATTTTAATGTTATCAGTTGTTTTACTCAATGGCTACCGTAGTGTCGTACGTGTAACCCAAACAAGAAATACCCTTCGGTACGTTGGAGCGAGTGAGTCAGTGAGTTAATATTTGTTTGCTTTGTTGTTTGTTTGTTGTTTAACGCCGCACTCACCAATATTCCAGCTATATGAAGGCGGTCTGTAAAATAATCGAGTCTGGACCAGACAATCCAGTTATTAGTATCATGAGCATCGATCCACGCAATTGGGATACGATGACATGCATCAACGAAGTCAGCGAGCCTGACCACCCGATCCCGTTAGTCGCCTTTTACGACAAGCATAGTCGCCTTTTACGGCAAGTATGGGTTGCTGAAGACCTATTCTACCCCGGAATCTTCACGGGTCTGCAGTGACAGTAAGTGAACATCATAATTGACTATCTGCAACAATATGAGTGAGTGACTGAGTGAGTTGTGTTTAAGCCGCTTTTATCAATATTCCAGCTACATCACTGCGTGTCAGCTTAATGTGCAATACAATCGCATTATTCGGGTCAAGTCGGTCTTTTGCGTTACTTTCATAATACACTGTACCTCGGGCAGCAATGTGGTAGTGATATTGTATGATTTTACTGTCAACCGCGTATCAACCGATCCTTCCGTATAAAGATCGCAAAACATGGCGACCGACTCTAAGCAAAGCCTTTTTATAATGGACATCGATGTTTGATATCGAGCCAAACAAAAGCGTCACTGTGAAACCAGTCCAATGATAGTTGAGATTCCCTATGGGATTGAGGTGTGGTGAGCCGAGTGCCCGCTACACGCGACAGTGTTGGCCAATAGGATAGCCTTATGGTAAACGTTTTAGTTCATCAAACTCTATTCCCTGCATGGCTACAATGTGTGAATTTATCCATTGTGTCGCCGCCACCGTGGTCGAGTGGTAGAGCGTCTGCCCGGAGAGTGGAAGGTCCGGGGTTCGATCCTCTGTCGCGTCATACCAAAAAACGATTAAAGATGGTACATGTTGTTAGCTCGGCATTAAGGGGCTAAAACAAGGAATGTTTTTTTTTTTTTTGTTTAACGCCGCACTCAGCAATATTCGAGCTATATGACGGCGGTCTTTAAAATAATCGAGTCTGGACCAGACAATCCAGTGATTGACATCATGAGCATCGATCCACGTAATTGGGATCGATGACATGTATCAACTAAGTCGGCGAGCCTGACCACCCGATCCCGTTAGTCGCCTTTTACGACAGGCATAGTCGCCTTTTACGGCAAGTATGGGTTGCTGAAGACCTATTCTAACCCGGAATCTTCACAGGACATCAAACTACAAAATGGAAACGGTACCAACTATACCAGCGATTACTATCAGTACTAAGTACACTCACTATTTTAACTTTAATAACTATACTCATCATCCTAACTAGAGAACTATACTGACAAAAACTGACTATAATAAATGTAATAACAAAACTATTTTTTACTAACTATACTGTTCATACTACACTATACCAAAGATAACTATTCTGACTATAATAACTATACACACTGTACTAACGATGTTAACTACACTAACTAGACTGTTTATACTAACCATTCTGTCAATTACAAACGATTATTAACAATACCACTACCGCTAACGAGAATGGTAAGCGATAAGCTTTGTTTGTTGTTTAACGCCTCACTCAGCAATATTCTAGCTATATGACGGCGGTCTGTAAAATAATCGAGTCTGGACCAGACAATCCGGTGATTGACATCATGAACATCGATCCACGTAATTGGAATCGATGACATGTATCAACCAAGTCAGCGAACCTGACCACCCGATCCCGTTAGTCGCCTTTTACGACAACCATAGTCGCCTTTTACGGCAATTATGAGTTGCTGAAGACCTATTCTACCCGGGAATCTTCTCGGGTCGAAAGCGATAAGCACTAACTGGTGAGTCCATGTATGAATTTGTGATTAAAGTCACTGCTTTGAACATCATTTCAGCTACATATTACAGAGTGGCGCAGGCTGTAGGCATTCTCAATTCTTAGCCATCGGGCACGGAATTCGCACTCACGGTCAACAGATCCTGGCGCAGGAAAGGGGACTACTCTGCACGCCGTATTCCAGTGCTTTAGACGACAGGGCAGTTGGTGGTCTCCGAATCCTTAAATAGAACCGAAACTTGGGTATAAACTCGGCCAAGCTCAACGAGGGGATCTAATTGAAGAGACTGACCTGCCTGAAAGTAGACGTATCCCACGATTGTCAATTCAATGGGCGGAAATAGCGATTTGTACGCTATGGTAAGTAGTTTTACAGTAGGGTGTAACAAGTCCTCCCACATATTTCTTAGTAGGTCTTATGTACCAGTTATACAGTTTTTTATATGATTTTTAAACGAAATATAAATAGACTGAACAAAATGAATACCGTTTTCTCCACAAAACCCCTTAGAATTTGTTAATAATGATGTTTTAAATAATAGCATTAAAATAACTGGATGCTCAAGGGTGTGGTACGAGTAATCGTTATCAGGACTGTCTGTTGGGGGGGGGGGGGGGGGGGGGGGGGGCACTTGAGATGGATTCAGCACCCTCATGGTTCTCGTCATTCAGATCAGTCATCACTAAAATACATAGTCTATTCATGGCTCGAACCATGGACCGTATAATCTGAAGTAATGTATATATTTGAACCCACTTTGATAACTTGTTATGACCATTTAATAACTGGAGAAAGATAAAGATGAAAATGTTTGTAATTTTAATGTTATCAGTTGTTTTTACTCAATGGCTATCGTAGTGTCGTGCGTGTAACCCAAACAAGAAATACCCTTCGGTACGTTGGAGCGAGTCAGTGAGTAAATATTTGTTTGCTTTGTTGTTTGTTTGTTGTTTAACGCCGCACTCAGCAATACTCCAGCTATATGACGGCGGTCTGAAAATAATCGAGTCCGGACAGACAATCCAGTGATCGACTTCATGAGCATCGATCCACACAATTGGGATACGATGGAATGCATCAACCAAGTCAGCGAGCCTAACCACCCGATCCCGTTAGTCGCCTCTTACAGGCATAGTCGCCTTTTACGACAAGCGTGAGTTGCTGAAGACCTATTCTACCCCGGGTCGAGTGAGTAAATGAGTGAGTGAGTATGGTTGTAGCCGCTTTCAGCAATATCACGGTGTGGGACAACAGAAACATGTTTGTGGGAAATCGAAACCGGGTCTTCGGCGTGACGAGCAAACGCTTTAACAACTAGGCCAACCCACCGCCCCTTATTATGTCAGAACAAAATTAGTCAAAGCAGAACAATTTGGTTTAATAAAGGACGAGAAGGTTTTTTTAAATAGTTTGTAATTGCCATTGCTTTTAAACTGCTTCACAATTGAGATAATATATGAAACTGGTATAACCTTTACGTGTATTCATGGACAGAATTGTAACTTTTCATCATTTGTGTATTCGCAGAGCAATGGTCAAATACCAACACCAATCTCATGAAAATCCGATCTTTCCCCAGCACCACTAAAACTGTCTACGTGCAGATCTGATGACATCGCCATGGAGGGTCGCGTTGAGCGAATCCTGAGCGACCTTTGACCGCCCAGCTTAAATGAAGGATGCGAAGGGTCTTGAGCCAATCAGATGTCAGCTTTCAAAAAAGATACGGCTTCATGTGTTTACCACCTCCATTTGAAAATTTCTATTCATGTTTATGCAAACCCTCACATAACACAAATTCACCCTTGATAGTACACAACGCAAACGTTTTTTATGGTGTTCTGCAGTAAAAATGCAAATAATCCTTGGCTATTCAACGAATAAGTGGAGAATAATAAGCAAATATTTCCTATGTGGCGTATATCCATATCCAACCACTCACTGAAACCAAATGTGGCAAAAAAAAGACAATAGATAATATGTTTTAGTTTTGGTTTGTTGTTTAACGCCGCAATCAGCAATATTCCAGCTATATGACGGCGGTCTGTAAATAATCGAGTCTGGACCAGACAATCCAGTGATTAATATCATGAGCATCCATCCACGCAATTGGGATCGATGACATGCATCAACCAAGTCAGCGAGCCTGACCACCCGATCCCGTTAGTCGCCTTTTACGACAAGCATAGTCACCTTTTACGGCAGGCATGGGTTGAGATAATATGTACAATCCTCAAGCGAAACTAACTCTATTATGATTTATAAAGTTAAATAATCGCGTAACTTTAGAGAGTTAGTTTATGAATTTTAATTAACTAGGTCTGATTATTCTGACTCTTGGTATTTAGAGTGAGTGAATGATTTGGGTTTAACGCCGCTTTTAACAGTATTACAGTTATATCGCGGGTTGTCAGCTTAATTTGGGAGGAGAGCCCGAAGTGATGCAGGTCTCAGACGTTTACCACAACAGTGAAACCCACGAGCACGGGTATGCTGCTGACAAACCTAGAGACATAATCGGGGCGAACCGGGATTCGAACCCACAAGCATAGGTTTCTGGCGTGCCCAAGGGACGCAACTCTGCACAGCGAATCGCGGTGCCTTAGGCGACTGGGCCACCCGTGCCCCCTTTATGTATAGTGTATACAAGAAGATTACACATTGTTCGAAACTTTCTCAATTCCCCCGTTTATGTTTTCCGTGTTGAAATGTAGCGGCAATAACATTTCCGAGTCCCGCGATGGGATTCGAACCACGGACCTTATGATCAGAGGTCGGACGCCAAAGAGGTTAACGCCGTCAGAAAGCTGACAAGGTAAGGATGTCATCTATGGGACGACTCCACGTCCTGCTACAGGAATATCAAGCCATCGAGGTCGCTTTGTGTTGTAGTTATCAGCATGTCGAAATCAGTGTCTTAGACACAGGCGAATCACAATGGAATTTTTAAGAGTTTTCTAGAGTAGGAACTTACATTGACGATTGTACACCATGTACGCTGGCTATGTTTTTGTTTGTTTGTTTGTTGTTTAACGCCGCACTCAGCAATACTGTATGACGGCGGTCTGTTAATAATCGAGTCTGGACCAGACAATCCAGTGATTGACATAGTGAGCAGCATCACGATGACATGCATCAGCCAAGTTAGCGAGCCTGACCACCCGATCCCGTTAGTCGCCTCTTACGACAAGCATAGTCGTCTTTTACGGCAAGCATGGGTTGCTGAAGACCTATTCAGCGAAACATTATTACATGGTAATATACATCTTAGTGATAATAGTAATATTGTTAATATCTTTAAAAAAGTTCATATTTGATAGAATCAAATATGTTTTCACATTAATTGATGACATGATTTTAATAAACAAGTTAATCAAATGTTAAACATTCAATAAAAGCGATGTATATTGTTACACCTACTTAACTGTAAACAGTTTCATTTGTATACTAAACCGCAAAAGAAACGTCACCATGGATAGACATATGAGAAACCTTATTTGTCCAAACACTGTAAACATACTTTGAGACTGTTAAAAAGATGAAACTTTGCAAAACTGATCATCAAAGTTGAAATTAAAGTGTCAAACGTTCTTAAAGTGAAACACAACACTAGTCTCTGAGAAAATGGCATCACAAGTCAGTATCTGGTGTGTCAGTATTGATGACTGCCCTGCAACGTCGATACATGGACTTGAGCCCACACTCCTGAGAAACGCCTGATACAGTTCAGCTACAGTTGTCGGCCTTGGTCGGACGTCATTCAGCCGTCTTTGAATCTCACCCCACAGGTGCTCAATGGGACTGAGGGCATGCCATTGCAAGGTTCTTATGCCATTCTGCTGGAGGAAGTCTCTTGTTGCCCTCACGTTGTGGGCACGGGCGTTATCATGCTGCAACTCGTGGTTACGGCGACGTGCCAAATAAGGTATGGCGTGTGGTTTCAAGACTTGATCAATGGCATTAGTCCGGTAATTAAAGGTGTTTTTTTCACGAAGGTCAACAAAATTGACGGAAAAGGTTTATTTATGCATTTCAGTTCCTTGATAGGTCTTCTTTCAAGAAAAAAATAGTTTACCAAAATTTGACTTGGGGAAACACCCAAAATAGGTCAAATCCAATATGGCCGCCATCAAAACAAGCGAAAATGGAAAAAAGTCAAAAACATGGAATCGATCAAAATTTAAACATGGATGATGAGTCGGTTTATAATCAACTCGTAATCTCTTTATAATCTCTTGTATGAGATGTTTCACTTTGGACGTAAGAGTTACAATGTTAGGTTGTTGCCTGATTGTAGTTATGGATACCTTGTTCACATAGTGATTTACTAATTCCCATTTCAGCTGAGATGCAGTGTACAGTTGATCATCATTCAGTCCACTCCTTGACTTCATAATGAGATGCAAATTTTCCAAAGTAATCGCTTCATCACCATTCTCTTCCAAGTAATCAATGGCAATCTCAAATGCTGTCATCTTGGACATACTCTTCGGTCGACCAAGCTTCCGTTTCTTCGGTGGAGCTTCCCCATGTTCAATATAAGTTGTAGGTATACTGGTCCCTCTCCGAAAATTCTTATCACATGCATGGTGATAGATAGCTTCTTCAGCAGGTAGATCGTGTATTGGCACAACACGTGACTGTACCATCTTGGCCCAATCATCCTGCCTCTTGACACAGTATGCTGCAATAGTTTCCTGGAACTCAAGAGCCATCACACGGCTGAATTGAAGTACACTTCTATCTAGATGTTTGTATGCAGCATCCTGGTCAATATAAGTACCACATAGAAAACAGTGAGTTTTAAAATTGAAGGCTTTTACATATGATCGAAGAGTTTTCTGAGCTATATGTGATGCTCCACATTTTTTAGCTGCTTTGATTGCCTTTGGATTTATATGCTTACTTCGACACTGTTTGTGTACCAACAGGCTAGAGTTCTCATTGTATATGGTGTCTGGTGCATCTTATTTGCGCAGTCTGTTTGCATTGCCACAGCAGCCTTTTTCTGTCAACTTCACAGGTCCAGGTTGACCGGTTCCATACATAGCACACAAGTAGCCATCTGTGATCTACGTTCGACACCTTCAGATGAGAACAGTCAACTGCAAATAGTAACAGTTGCTAGAAATATGGTTGACATGTGTACAGATACAAATGAATACAGATTCAAAGATTTAAAGTGATAACTTATTTCTCTCATACAGGATGCATTTTTCATAAATAATTACTTTGTCCATTGTAGCAAATGATTTGTGCGCTAAATGTCTTGATTATCTTCAAAATCGACTTTTAATCAAAGTTCATACCATTTGAGAATAATAACTGCTCACCGGAGTTGGGATTATCTCCCTTCATTTGCCTTGAAACCAATGAGGATGTTAATGGCCCTGTTACAAATTTTATATTCATATTTGTTTATATTTTCATCAGTTATTCCCCTCTAGAGCCAATTAACTATATGTTTTTGAAGTTTTGAAGTTTAGTTATAAGAGAAAAATAGCTTATACACACCTTTATGTTCTTGAGGTCCATCTTCAAACCATCGTCGGCTCGTCCGCCATTTTGAAGAGGGGAAGACTTCATTTTTTCAATTGGTTTTTTTTTTTTTCAAACTTGATTATTTATGTGAACACAATAAACTGTATGATTTTATATGTAAAACACCAACATTATGATGAAACTTTATTTTCTGCAAGACTTACTTTTATTAACAAATTTATGCATTTTTTGTCATTTCGAGGCATTTATATTTAATTTTTATGAGAATTTTCCTTTCAAAATTGTGAAACATACACTCCTTTGCATTTACCAAGTCAAACTAATATAGAAAGTCTCATCATAAATGTTTTTACTGTTATTGGTTCCATGTTAATGTCTATCATGTCTATTGTTACCTTTGTTTTGGCGGCCATCTTGGATTTGACCTATTTTCGGATGGTTCCCCATGTCCGATTTTGGTAAACTATTTTTTTTTTTTAATGTATAGGTGTCAAGGCACCAAAATCCAGCAATAAACCTTTTCCGTCAATTTTGTTGAACCTGGGCCTTTTAATTACTGGACTACATGGGTCCTCGGTGTGGCCTGTGACAGTGGAGGTGTCTGCTCGTCAATCGTCGATGCACGATGTCCGCACTAATGTGTCGCTGGTGTATCTCCATGGTCTGTCCAGCAGTTTCCGCATCAGTAACAAAGCGATCTTGAAGATGCTGTCGCACAATCTGACGATCCTGTCGACGGGTAGTGACCCTTGGTCTTCCACTACGTGGTCGGTCATCTGTAGTGTTGGTGGTCAGGTACCGTTGCTGGAGACTGTATATGGTCCTTACGTGGACTTGAAATGCATTGGCTACTTGTCGGGCGGTTTGTCCAGCTTGCAGTCGTCCAAGGGATTGGCGTTGCTGATTTCTTGTCAATCTTGGCATGTGGTAGCAATTCAATAACGAATGAATGTTATCCGATCTGGATGGATATTTATAGGGCAAGAAATGGGGGAACTCACGTGCATCGGGTTACCATGGCCGTTGTCGTGATGCGTTTTGGCGATCGGTTTTATTGTCATCTGCTTTGGTTTGTTTTTTTATCATCAAAATTTTTTCCGGACAAGGTAATGTTAAATTTTAGAAACTTTGACAAAATTACCCAGATATTTAAATGACAACTTTAGTAACGCCGGTTCAACGAGACCTCGTGGGTCCGGACCACGTTAATACGGAAACCCGATAATCCGTGCGATTACTGTTGGGGACGCATACCTGTAACGAAGTGAAATTACTCCGTAATCATGATTAGTTAATCCTGAATTTTGGTAATCCGGACGATATGAACAGACACTTTATCGTCCAGATTAATGAGGCTTTACTGTAAACATTTCAAATTTAAATTAATTCGTTTCCGATTTCGAGCTGACTGTTATTTTCGTCACATTCGTTGACGAACACCCCAAAGCCTTGACGGGTTTTTTCCATTTGTGCTGCGAAGTACTCTTTCTGATTCATTTGTCGCATCAGGAAACTCTTTCCTTCCACATCAACGATTGTTCCTTTGTATTATCTGATCATATTCTAAAAAAAATCCCACATCGGTAAAGACAGCCAGGAAGACAAGGGCGAGCTATGAGTTAAAGTTAGACCGATCCCACCATGACTCAAACGAAAAGGCGGCACATGTCGAAAAACACTTCCGCTTAGTGTGGAAGCATCCCATTCATGAAATCACTGGTTTGCGTCTACGCGTGAATGTGACTGTCCCTTCTGATAGAAATAAAGGTACATCACTTGATTATCTGGTTTATCACTTGATTGTCTACGCGTGAATGTGAATGTCCCTGCTGATAGAAATAAAGGTACATCACTTGATTATCTGGTTTACCACTTGATTGCCTGGTCCACTATCACTGGATTGTCTCTCAAGACCCAGTGATTGACTGATTGTTTGTTGTTTAACGCCGCACTCAGCAATATTCCAGCTATATGACGGCGGTCTGTAAATAATCGAGTCTGGACCAGATCTATGCACATGATACAGCTATATGACGGCGGTCTGTAAATAATCGAGTCTGGACCAGACAATCCAGTGATTTACATCATGTGCATAGATCTGGTCCAGACTCGATTATTTACAGACCGCCGTCATATAGCTGGAATATTGCTGAGTGCGGCGTAAAACAACAAACCAAACTCTTACCTGTCAGATGTTCTCTAACAGCAATTGGGCAGACGAGAACATGGGAAAACTAAAAAATATGTGTTGAACATCGAGTAACATCATCATTCTCCCCTTTCCTATACAGCTGTAACAATTCCATCCAATAGGTGTTCAGCAACCAATGGTTGCGGTAAATTGCGACTATGCTTGTCGTGAGAGGCGACTAACGTATCCCAATTGCGTGGATCGATGCTCATGCTCTGGTCCGGATTATTTATATCATATATCATATATCACATGTCATATAGATAGCTGGAATATTGCTGAGTGTGGCGTTAAACAAACAAAAATAACAATCCATAATCGGGCATTCAGAAGACCCTTGGACGGCTACAGATGTTGGAAACCCACCTACCTTTCTATTTCTAAGTCATTTATATCATACTTATTGTCAAAACATTATGTGGGATCTGTGTACATCCCCAGTTGACCCGTGAAGATCCGCGATAGAATAGGTCTTCAGCAACCCATGTTTGTCGTAAAAGGCGACTAGCTTGTCGTAAGAGGCGACGTACGGGATCCGGTGGTCAGGCTTGCTGACTTGGTTGATGCATGTCATCGATCCCAATTGCCTGGATCGATTATCATAATATCAATCACTGGTTTGTCTGGTCCAGACTCGATTATTTACAGACCGCTGGAATATTGCTGAGCGCGGCGTTTAAACAACATCCCCAGTTACTATTTCATGTATCGATTTTGAACAGAATTCAATCATCAATTTGCAAAAAAGCAAACCCATTATAAATATTGATATAAATTTGAAATGAATTCTGGCTGTTTGATGTAACATAAATATTTTATTGAGAAAGTGTAACATTTGCCCCACCTTTCCATGTGCAAATGCCCTGTCGTATTTGTTATACCTTGGCGAAGTGGCCTTTGATGCCGATTAATTTCTTCTTCCTCTTCTTCATCTGACCCGAGAAGATCCGGGGTAGAATAGGTCTTAAGCAACCCATGCTTGCCGTAAAAGGCGACTAACGGCATCTGGAGGTCAGACTCGCTGACTTGGTTGCTACATGTCATCGATCCCAATTATTCACTGGATTGTCTGGTCAAGACTCGAGTATTTACAGACCGTCGTTATATAACTGGAATATTGCTGAGTGCGGCGTTAAACAACAAACCAACCATTAAATCTTCTTCATCTCATCCATGTCAAGCATATGCTCAAAACACATCTCACATTGGATTTCTTGTTATATTACTCAATATACATTCATGTATTTTTTGGTCTTGTTTCATTGTTGCTTAACATAGAAGATTTAAGACGGTGGCCTGAAAATTATCGAATGTAGACCAGAAAAAAACAATGATTGATATTGTGAGCAACGATCCACAGCGTCCGGTTACGATGACACCTATATACCAAGTCACCGAGCCTGACCACCAGGTCCATTATCCGCTTACGACAAGCATAGGTTGCTGTGGACCAATTAACCAGGAACCAGCACGGGGAGCGGAGGTACATGTATGAATATCCCAAACATTGGCGTTTTCAGATCAGTACAGAGATCCATTATCAGTAAAAGTATACATATTCATAACCTTCCCCAAATAAAAAATAAATAGATGTTAAGCAGCCGTTTCAAACAAAAGTCTTAAAGAATATTGATTTCTCATTGTTGCATGTTGATAGAGACCCGTGAAGATCCGGATTAGAATTGGACTTCAGCAACCTATTCTTGTGAGAGGCGACAAACGGGGATCGGGGCTTGGTTGATCCGTATCATCGTATCCCAAATGCGAAGATCGATGCTCATGGTGTTAACCACTGGATTACTGGTCCAAAAGTCGATTATTTAGAGACCATCGTCATATGGCGTGATTTTTTCTGAGTGCGGCGTTAAAGAACAAATAAACAAACAAACAAATAATGCTGATAGAAACCTTCATGTCCATTCAGCCAAGAAGGGTTATGTTGAAACCGCATTGCGTTCAGTTACACCCTGCGGCCTTGCAACAGAACATGTCCCAACACATGCTCGGAATTATTTCCTCAAACTGTCTGACGTGATGCGCCGAGGACAAAACACTCGGGTTATTGCAGTGCTGCTCGTCATCGTTCTGGCAGTAACGACGTTTGTATATAGTAAATGACTGAAACATGACGAAATATTTCCTCGTTAAAAAGGGTTTGTGTTCTGGTCTGGTCCACCGGGTTCCTAGGTGACCTAGTGACTCACTGTAACAGTGACCTACTGATACACTGACACACTGGTACGCTGAGTCACATAATCTTGGGGGAATCACCTACAGTTGACTCATCTTGCAATGCCTTTGAAACTGGCTCATGTTTATAATAATAAAAACGCTAAAAAAACAGGGATTAGAACTGTAATTGTAAGTCATTTGTGTGTTCACGTGACTGTGAAATCATTGACAATTATTATCTTTTTTTAAATTCTACTTGAAAGATTTACCTGTACTTTCCGGTGATTAAACAGGTTTTTTGGGAATTCGGAGGTAGGTATTACCGGGATGTGTCATAACGCTTAATGCTTTATGTAATAATGACGGTGGTTTAAGTCCCGATCGCGAGTTGGGTTATGAATAAATAGAATAAGTTACTGAGGTTTAAGCAAACGATGAAGCTACTGAAAAATAATTTCTTAAGAAATTGATCGCAGACATTGATCACAATGTTAGATATACAGATGTCATTGGCGCCGTGCCGTGTTTGTTATTGGTTTGAGAAAATTACATGGGGATGAAATATTTATGAAATAATTTTGAAAACATTTCTAACCTTAAATTATTACTCTTAACATGTATGACTATTTCCCCATACAGCATTTCTCTGCGGTGAAAGGTTTACACTTTCCATAAACCGGGTCTGCCTGTCGAGAGGGACGGGGACAGGCCTGCAGCATGGGAGAAACTTTGATCTAGTTTCCGAGTAGGGAGATATTAGCACATTTAGACAGTGTGAATAGTTGTCAGCCTAATGTGTCAGCCTACAGGGGTAAACATATAACCATTAAGGGGGTAACTTTCATAGAGAAGTATGGTTCATGGCTAAAAGTAACACACGCACTCACAACGTTGTGGACCCGTGAAGATCCGGGGTAGAATAGGTCTTCAGCAACCCATGCTTGCCGTAAAAGGTGACAAACGGGATCGGGTGGTCAGGCTCGCTGACTTGGTTCACGCAGGTCATCGACCCCAATTGCGTGGATCGATGCTTATGATATCAATCACTGGATTGTCTGGTCCAGACTCGATTATTTACAGACCGCCGTCATATAGCTGGAATATTGCTGAGTGCGGCTTAAAACAACCAACCAACCAACCAACCAAATCACAACGTTGTGGGTTTC